GAGGGTATTTTTCGGGGAATCACCACGTAATTCGGGGCCGGGGGGTCGGGTCCCCGTCGGGCTGGGTTCCGATTGCCATCTCTAAAATCCATGTCATGTTTGACATATGATGGAGTAAAAATTTAAGGTCTAATTTAATTGTTGATGTGCCAGGTAAGATTTGACATTTAGACCTCGTTTGAAAATATATTATTTTAATAATTTTTTAATTTTTTGACTAAAATATGAGATAAAAAAATTAGTATGTTTGGAATAAATTTTTAATTTTTTACGAAAAGATGTGCAAAAAGTAAAGAGAAAATAAAATCTTTAATTTTTTTGTAAGCCTCCGTTTGGAAAGTGGGTTGGCTTTTTGGCTTTTTGGCTATTTAGCTATTTTAGCCTGAGGCTAAAAAGCCTGGTTTGGGAAGGCCTTTTTGACTTTTTGACTTTTTTGACTTTTTTTGTGAGAGAGAAGTGTAATGATTATGGGTTGGATTTGATATTTTGTCTTTTGTGACTAAAATAGTCTATTTTGTTTTTGTGGCTATTTTAGCCCCTAACCCACCAAAGCCAACTTCTCAAACTATGCCTAAATGTTATAGACTTTTTGATTTTTTTAATAATTTTTTGACTTTTAAACTAAAACAAGCACTTGCTAAATGAGACCTAAGATGGGAGATGTTCTTATTCTTTTGATATGGGTCCATAGAGTGATCTTATGTGCTACAATATCAAATTGTTGTATACATAGCATGCATGACCCTATTTTAGAATTGCTTTGCAAGTGTAATTGGGGCTTTTCGCCAATTAAATATCAAAAACAATAAATTATTTGCTTATATATATATATATATATATTATTTTACATTTGTCCTAGAAAACAAGAAGCATGCTATTATCAATAATTATTTAATAGTTTGAAATATTATGTGATATTTATTTGTATAGTATTTCAAATCAATCACTAACAAAAAAAATTTACTAATATGACATGCTAAATTATGTTTATTAAGTAGTTATGAGACAAACTTAGGTGCCATTTGTTATCACTTATAAGTTAACTTTTATGATTATAATTTTTTTTGATTATTAACTTGAAATAAATTGTAAATTTGTTTAGTATTATTTTTTATAATATACGAAAAAACTTTTTAAGTGAATAAGCTATCACATGGTTTTTTTTTGTAAAAGTATAAGTATTTAGAATGACTGCAAAAGTAATAATTATCACAAAAGATATGAGACACTTTTGTCCATACGTACTTAACGATTTTAAATAAACTTAAGAAATTTTTACTTGTTTTGGCCAAATAAACTAAAATAATCAAGCAAGCTATAATTTAAAATCACAATCAAACATCATTAATTACTTTTATAAAGTAAATAAACTAATAACTTGACTTGTAAGTGTTACCAAATAGAGTTTAATGTGTATTACGATTTTTTTTTTTTTGACTAAAAATATTATGTAAACAATATGTATTATATTTTAAAAATATCTAACAACTTTCCCACCATTTTGGCTCACAAGTTTAGTAAGCATAACAATAATAACAACCATGAAACAAAAAGAGGATGATATATTAACTGGTTAATAACAAAAATAAAGCAATATTTAAGTCAATTAACTTGAACCCTCTTGTACTAATATCTAGGGCAAACACCCATTGTCACTATAGGGTTGCAGTTGACAAAAATGTTATGAATCATCAAAATATATATTTAATCTAATCACAAAAGGAATGTGTAATGTAGATTTAAAATTAGGAAGATGGTGGTTACGCTTGCAATAATTGTAGAATATTGATTTGTTAAATTGAATAATTTTCTAAGTAATGTTTTCTAGATTCGTAACATTCCAGCAAAACTTGATGGAACTTCATTAAGCAATTAGGCCTAATGCTAATAGAACCTAACTAAGCAAATAGCAATAGAACATTAATCAAAACATATATCTTGATGAGTTGGTAGGGGTACTTTAATCTAGGTAAGTTACAAATACACTTATTGAGATACATTTAAAATGTGGATTATCCCCAGTGATTCTTATACAACAATAAATTTATTGGAACTGTAAATTGAATTATATTTCTAACATCATTAAATATTGTTAATTCACTTAATGGTTGATTACTGAAAGGAGTTATTTATAATGTGATTAGAAATTTGAAAGAACGTGATATAATTTCTAGAACCACATTGGACAATTAATATTTTAAATAAATCTCAGAAAGTGTATTTGTAATTTTTTCTTAAATCTATACTCGCATGATCATTTCTTTCCACAATGGCACCAAGTAATTGGGTAATTCTATTTCTATACTAATTCTCCTTCGGTGGTGCTATATGCACCAATTAATATACACACTAGTGTTATGCCATTATTATTAACCCCACTTATTATACAAATTACAAATATCCAAAATATCTAAAATTATGTTACATCATCTGTTAATATACTAGTTAGTACATTTATTAGTACATATAACATTGTTCAACTCTCCTTAGTTCACACATTTAAAGCTTCGTTCGGCATTTGATTTTTGGCTAAAAAAATACAAAAAGACAAAATTGCCTACAAAAGCTAATAAGATAAAATATCACATTCAAATCATAATCATTATACTTTTTTTCTCACAAAAGTCAAAAAAGCTTAAAAAGCCAAACCAAACGAGGCTAAAAAAGTCAAGCTAAAAAAATCTCAACACAAAAAAATCAATTAAAAAAGCCAATGCCAAACGAAGATTTAATGAAGTTTTTCCTTAATATAATTTTGTCTTAGAATAAGAATACCGCCATACCCTTATCTTCTTCCACCCAAACTTTAATTCTAAAACACCACAACCATTCTCCATCGCCATATTCACCTAAAAAAATCTTTCATCGCCAACACCACCTCTCTTCTTCGCCATCCCTTTTCGTTGTCTTTTTTCCCTCCACATGCGACCACCTTCCACAATAAACCATACATTCCCACAAGCCTTCTGCTGCGAACCACTCATTTTCAAGGTTGGTCGTAAAGGTCTAGGTTAGAAGTAGGGGTGTAAAAATGGCCCGCGGCCTATGGACGACCCGAAGCCCACTTGCGGCCCGAGATGGGCCCAGCCTGAGCCCTTAAGCTAGGGCCTGGGCCATTGTTTTGAAGCCCGACTCGGCTCGTGGCCCAGTCCATCGGCCCGCTTAAGGCCCACTTAGGACCTGGGCCGCGCGGAGGCCTAGTGTATTTTTTAGTGAAAAATAATAAACTTTGGTAGAAAAAAATTAAAAAAATTAAAAAAAAATGGCCAAGCCCGCGTAAGCCCGAGGCTAGGTCCAGGCCCAGCCCACTGGCCCGTCCAAAGCCCGAATACCCCTGGGCCTGGGCTTAATTTTTTGGTCCGTGGGTCGACCCTGCTCGGCCTGAATTTTTGGCGGGAGCCCGCGAGGGCCCTTTTTTTTTAATGGAAAATAATAAAATTTTGATGGGAAAAATTAAAAAAAAAATGTTTAGGCCAGCCCAAAGCCCGAGCCTAGGCCCAGCCCGAGGCCCAGCCCACTGGCCCGTCCAAAGCCCAAATACCCCTGGGCCTGGGCTAGGGCCTGGGCTTAGTTTTTTGGTCCGTGGGTCGACCCTGCTCGGCCTGAATTTTTGGCGGGAGCCCGCGAGGTCCAACATGGGTCGAGTCGGGCCGGATTTACACCCCTAGATAGAAAGGGGCATATTGAGAGTAGTGGTGGCAGTGGCGATGAAGGCTGAAAGTGCCAACACTGATGGCTAAGAAGAGGTGGGTGAATGAAAAAATTATTAGAGTTTTAAAATTGGAGATGAGAGTATTATTAAAATAAAGAAATGGGCACTGAAATTAATTTTTTATTTGATATATGTACTAAAAAGTGTTCATTGATTGGAGCCTAAATGTTATATTTTTAGCCCGCTAAAATATATTTTATTAGTCCATTTATTTTTACTATTTTATAATTTTATATATTTTTGCTTGTTATATATATATACTAGCGTATGCCCGTGCCTAAAAGCACGATATAAATAATATTAAAATTAAAATACAGTTATAAAAATATATTTAACAGAGTTGTTTACCAATTGAGTGTTAAAGAAGGTTGTCTTGGATTGATACATTTCTTTGATTTCTCGTTCTCGTCGCAGGCGCTGTCCTAATTGGTATGCAGAACATGGGTTTTGTTTTTTTTCACGTTCTTGCCGTGCACGTTGAGTCAATGCAATTTTTAATAACACATTATTATTGTATGCCTAAAATGAGAATATTATATAATTAGGTGCATAAAATGTGAAGATTATCCCCTCTCTTGCTTTCCTTTTATCATGTATTTGTTCTTAAAAGTTTAACTAACTTTTCTTATTCGCTCGGTTGAGTTGTTAATCACATAAAAACCAATGTGTGTATTGATGAAATTTAAAAAGGGAGGAAAAAAATAATTTGAAAACACATTACACACAAAGCTGCAAACTGCAAATTGTTTGTTGTCCTTTTCTTCTTTCCTTACGAACTTATAAGTAAAATAAAAATTTTAAAAAACCTATTTTATATAATTAAAAAACTCATTTAATTAATTTTAAAAATCTATTTCAAATTAATGTTCAGACAAATGCGTTAACATGTATAAATGTTTACTTTAACATAGTTTAAAAAAATATTTCAAAATCAGTCAAAACAATTGAATAAATATTTTAAAAACAATAACTCATAAAAATGTATATAAAAAATAGTATATAACACTATGCAATTCTTAAAAAAAAAATCTATATAAAAACAAAAATTTAATAAATATTTGGAAAACAAACTTTTTAAAAATGTTAAGAAACCATATCACGAGATTTGTATGTTCATTTCCTTTGCCAGAATGGATAGCCTTTTTTGTCTCCTTCGATGTTGCTTTATGTTTTTTCTTTGCCTTCGCTTATAAAAAAATAAGTAGAATCTATTTATAAATAATGTACAAAATGATAAGAAAATGCATTCGTATATTAGTTACTTTTAGGCTTACCTCATGAATACGAATAATATTAAGGTCACGTTCATCGTGAACAATATTAACATTTCTTTGTTGAAGAAATTGAATCTATATATACAAAAACTTTAGAGTGATAAATAAAACTTTGTACAGATAAATAAGAAAAAAAATCATTTCTTTCTTGATATTACCGTTCAGTGTAAGTCTTCATCCACCTATAAAGTAGTTGTTTAAAGCATTTATTAGAAGAAAATTAGATAGGATAAGTTTAAAATAAATAAATAAATAAGCTTTATTTTAAATAAATAGACCTTACATTATAAGAGAGGTATTTAAATTTATATGGAGGGGGAGACAAAAAAAAAAAAAACCCTTACTTGTCCAAAAATGGTGATATTGTCCATAACTGTTGTACTTCGACCTGAAAATATTTGGTTATATAATTATGACGGTTGAATGATGTATTTTAGCAATTACATTAAAATGATAAAATTAAAATCAGCCCCACCAACATAAAAGGTACTAAAATAGGAGCACACCAATTGTCCAAATTTAAACTCTTCTCTTCCCCAACTAACTTCAATTTTATAGTCTTCAAATTAAATTTATAATTATCATTTAAAAAGTCCAAACATAATTTTATGACCAAAAAAAAAAACTGTTTAATCAGCAATTTAAACAGTTGGTAATGAAAGAAAACTTGATATTTGTTATTAGACAAATGAGACGCTTGGTAATGGAAAAAAAAAAGAAAAAGAAAAGAGGCATCAGACATCCGCCATACCTATATATATAATGAACAACCCATCAGCCAAACCATACCTACACATGAATAACTATATAAATAATGAACAACCATCAGCCAAACCATACCTACATATGAATAACTTACAAAGCAAGACCATAATGAGGAGTTCAAGCAAACCATATCTATATAATATTCATACACCCAATTAAATTCTTTCAGACCTTGAACCCAAAGTAATGAAACTCAAGGATCACAAACCTCAAAAACAGGTTCAAAGTACTTCTTTGGAGTCCTTTAGCGACAATTGTTTAAAGCTGAATTCAAGTTATTAATTAAGAAAACAAACACACATGTTTCAAGTTGTATGCATATGAATAAGTTGATTGGGTCAATTATATGGTTTTTTATATATTAAATTCAATATCTATCCGAAATAAGAATTAAATTCATCAATCTCAACCACAGCGGAGTGGTTGAAACCGCCCCCATGTATTATGCTGATCAAGTCGATTCTTCAAGCAATCCCAACACTACTTAAATTTATTTTTTAATTTGATAAAATTAAATTTAATCCCAACACTATTTAATCCCAATACTATTTAAATTTATTATAAATATAATCCCAATACTATTTAGAACCAATACGAAATCTAGGTAACAATTAAGCATATCAAATTCAAAACTTATAACATATTGTAAAGATGAATTAATTGCAACCTATCAGGATTACAAAACAACATAATAAAGCATTCAATATGGCTTCACATAGATTTGAAATAAACATGGGACTTTAAAAACCAAATCCATTAGGTACATGAGCAAGGTTGACCAAGCATGTGAAAACCAAGCTCAGCCTAGATGGGCTTGGATTCAGTTCAGACCAAGTTTAATTAAGCTGAAGTTGAACAATTCAGTGACCAATTAATCTAGAGCTGAAGCTATCAATAAGTCAGTAAGTTTCATTTGCAGAAATATACAGCTATGTATGAATTCACACACATATATATAGACACATTTAATAAATACCTTCAATTGTTCAGTAAAAGTAAATCAAAGCCCCCCCACATTAAAAAAAAATACCTGGAAGCACACAAAATTTAACTGAATATTTGAAATAGCCTATTATAATATGGTACAAATATATGGAAGATAGCCCCGTTGGACTACCCCTGTGCAGCTCTCCAGGTAACCTAAAATAAGTTAGATTGGAAGCACCTTTTAAAACCAATACGAAAGAATATCATCTAGGTAACAATTAAGCATATCAAATTCAAAACTTATAGCATATTGTAAACACACAATTTAATTCTAACCATTCATTTCTATGATACATATTGAAACACACAAAACAAATGGTATTCTTCTGAATTCTGGTAATTATTTATGGTAATTATGGTAATCAAGTTAGGATTGATTATGGTAATTTCAAGTTACAATCCATCTTATTAAGCCAATAATTCACGTGTTGCATGGATTCACGTGCTGCATGGATTGCAAATTTCAATCCATCTTATTAAGCCAATAACAAACAAATTCATAACCTAATAGCATGTTCAAGATTATCACACCTTCAAATATACAAACTACAAACTATCCTCACAAATGAATTTTAATACTTAATGTTATTAACCCAGATCTGTAAGTACTTCATAATCAGTAGAAGAGCAATCACAGGCCTTAAGAACATCTAAATCAACATGTCAACTCAAATCTATCAAAAGATATTAAAAGATATTATGCGCACATGATAATAGAACATCCATAAAACTTCTCAACCTATCAATTTATTTTGTTAAATGCAAACATAGCTAGTTAAATTATTGTAGTCTGAGCACAAAGAGGTTTCTTAATTAGAAAAGTGGCAGAACTGAAACAAAGGCATACCTTCCCACTAAATGCAGCAATTCTGGTAAATCTATCATTTTTTCCATTACGTTGTCATCCAAAGGCATACATTTTGAATCTGTAAGGACCTGAAGAGCATTTCTATATAATTGACTGCCTTCATTAGCATTCCCTGTATGAAAATGGCACATGACCCCACACTAAAAAACTTGAAATAGATCTCCATCTATGAATGAACTTTTAAATTTAAAGTTCACCGCAATCCACTCATAGTAGAATGAGCAACTTTTTGACCCCACACAAGTACTGGTGTTAACATGATCCTACTAATTTAAATGAAATTAGGAAGAAAACTACTTGCATACAATGAAGAATGCGAAGTTCACCTTATGCACATTTCACATGGGCCAACAAACACATAGCCATTCAAAAACTCTTCCATTATTCTCCCCGTACAACTTTGCATATATGTCAAGAAATCTACAGATTCATCACAGAATGGAATATAAAACAAAAAAGAAATTAATAAATAAAAGACAAAAATATTGAAATCTACACCCAAAACAATATACAGACAGCCAAATTACCTAATAAAGGGATTTTCAGCATCCATAGCTTTTCCTTCCTTCGTCAGAAGATTGCAGAGGCCAAGTAAAGCCACCACCAAATCCTCAATTTCTGCACCTTTGCACCTTTGCTCAATTCCAATATTCTGCATCTCAATTCCATAATTTATACGTATAATTATATAAATTTTAACACACAAAATTTAATAAAAGTATATAAACTTACAATATTTTATAAAAAATGCTTTGTATGAGAGCAATTTGGTTTGTAGAAATGTTTCACGAAGTTAATTTAAGAAGGAAACTTTCAAATGTCTAAGAGCATTATATACAACTTTTCTCATGTTTCTTTATTAATTAGTTCATTATCGTATTTAATAAAATTAAATCAATTAAAAAAATTATCTGGTCAGGCAATAATGTTTGTAAATGCTGCATAAAAAGTGCAGAACACATCACAGATTAAATTGTTGAGAACACATCACAGATTCACATAACTCACACACAGCATCACATAACATCACAGATTCCTGGGCAAAGACACACACACACACAACATCAGGTGGACTGCGACCTTTTACCTCATGTATGTCGAACCTTCTTGTCGGCGATGGCGGGATAGGGCGTCGGCAAGGGACGACGGGGGACGACGATGCCCTCCTCTGTCTCTCCTCTCACTGAATCGAAGAAGGTATGGGTTTGTTGCAAAACAAAGGCCTAAAATGGGGAAAGAGGGGTGAAGGAGCGGGAGATGAAGGGAGGAAGACAGGAATAGAGGGTTCGAGTTTGGGTCTCCGGCGAGGGAGAGGAGAGGTGGTCGGTGGTCATCGCAAGAGAAGAGAGAGTAGCGTATGAAAGAGATAGGAGGAAGAGAGAGATGTATATGTGAAAGAGATGTATTCAAGAAGAAGAACACAGAGGGAGAGAGAGATAGAGAGGGAAGGTGGGTAGGTGGGAAAGAGATAACATGCTTTAGGCAGAGAAGTCTTTGGGCGGGAGATCTATTGATCTCAACCATTGAAATAAATTTGGGATTAATCTCAGTCATTGGATTAAAATATATCTCTGAGACATTTTTATACATTTTCAAAAAATCTCTTCCCTTATTATATAGATATATATATTTTGAGGGTTCGTACAGAAATTAATGTAAATAATATATTTTAAATATTATATATATTATTATATTAAAAAAGTGCAAAGTATTAAACTGTGCACAACCATGCCTCCCACGCCTCTAACTTAATTATATATATAATGTTATATTTTATTCATTTATTATTATTTTGTTTTATTTGTTTGTTTGTAGGTTCATTACAAGAAATTTTACTTTTGGCGATCAAAATTTTAGTCACCAAAAGTCATGTTTTTAATCGCCAATCACTTTTGCCGACTAACATATTTGGTCGCTCATTTGGTCGCCAATAGTTTGTCGGGGAAACAATCAGTGACTAAAATCTGTTTGGTAGCCAAAAGTAGCCTATTGGTGACTAAAACTTTAGTCGCCATATTTTTTTAAAAAATAATTAAATATATATATTTTTTTACTTTTAGCGACTAAATTATTTAATAGCCAATTAAGTATGTATGTTTGGCGACTAATTATTTGGTAGTCAAAAGTTTTACTTTTTGAGAATTGGCAGCTAAAAATTTAGTAACCAAAAATTTTTTTTTTACAATTGATGACTAACAGTTTAGAAGCCAAAAGTTTCACTTTTTTACAATTGGCGACTAAAGTTTTGGTAGCAAAAAGCCAACCTATGATATTTGTTTAGTCACCAAAATGTCTCATTTAGTTTTTATAATTTGTTAATATTTTTTACAGCACTTATAACATGTGCATATACAAATTTATTCATCCATTCATTCATTCATTCAATTCTCAACCATTTAATAAAAAAATTTCTTCACAACTTGTACCATTCAATTTTCAACCACATACAGAACTTAACTATTAACCGTACATATCAAAGAAAATCAGAATCTATAAACATAGTATAATCCAACAAATACATACACTATCCAAACCAACAATTAAAATCCAAGTTAAAGAAAATCTTAATAACAATTGTGATGATGATGATGGTGCTGATACTAGAGACACTATTGTTGGGCTGAAGGTCATTCCACAATTGTTCTTCATCAATTTGTCACGTGGGTGTTCATGTTCTACATCATGGCGAGAATAACAGTTTAGAAAATAAATTGAAACTGTTAAAGTAATTAAAGTTGTTAATTTAAGATTGTAAGATGACTTCAAGCTGTCACGTGGGTGTTCATGTTCTACATCATGGCGAGAATGACAGTTTAGAAAATAAATTGAAACTGTTTAAGTAATTAATGTTGTTAATTTAAGATTGTAAGATGACTTCAAGCTGTCAATTGTACTTCAAGCATTTGTAAAAGTATTCTAACTTTGTAAGAATTCATGAAAGAAAATTCATGATTGAATGATATGTACTCTGAGCAAAGTATTTGATTAAATAAAAAGAGAAATGCTACTAAAGCAAGCATTGACCTAGTGAACAGTGTGTAGTTACAACTTGTTTTGAAACATGTGCTTGCCAAGTGACTGATTATAAAACAATTGACTGACTGAAAAAAGAATCGTTATGGTTAAGGATATGTATATTACCTGATATATTACCATGAGAATCTTTATCTTTGTAACAACCCCGACCTATGATTAACGTTAATCCATGCTTAAGTATGCCTAACAAGTAATTTTGAAAAGAAATTCTGAGTTAATTACATGTGCATTGCATTATTTGTGTTTATATCTGTTTAACGTAAAAAGATCTGCTCATGTTTCGGTTTGTGAATTGAAGGCCTTGTCGGCATCCGATTCAGAAATTGACTTGATTTTTTAGTTAATTAGAATTTTTTAGAATTTTATGGTAGGTTTAATTGAAATTTGATTCAGAATGATTAAATTAGATTAATTTAATGCCCATTTAATTAACTTTAATTAATTATCACCAAGTGAACTTATATAAGACTCCCTACATGCTCCACTCATCTCTTTCTTTCATTTTCAACACAGTTTTGAGTTTACTCACACACACAAATGTGAGAGAGAGGGAGAGGAAGGTAAACTTGAATTCAACCAAAGTGGGACTTACTTGAGAATTGAAGAAAACTATGGAGGATTAGCTTGATTACTCAAGAATTAGTCTACTTGAAGCTCAATTGAGAAGTTTAGGTGAGAACTCAAGCTTTTGATAATATAATTAAGTTAGCCAACTCATGAATTTAAAAGAAATCCTATAGGAAGGTAGGAATTAAGCTTAGATAGTTGATTTTTGGAGTATATCATGCATGCATGCATAATTCTCATAATATGATAAGCTAATTTTCAAGAGTCTCCACATGCATGTCTATACTTGGGTTTTGTTCAAGGAACTCAACATGTCTTTGACCCAAACATCTCATTTGCTCATGATTTGAAAACTTGAAGCTCAAATCACTTCATGCATGTCATATTCATGTCATGTTTTTAAAATTCAAGTTTGAATTTTGCTCAATCGTCAAGCTTATGGACCTTGATTTCATGAAATGACCTTTAATTCTCAATGTTTTTCAAGTTTAGACAAGTTTCCTCAAGTTTTTGGTCCAAATGATGAGTTTTAAAGTGTTAAAATCAAGATTTGTAACTTGGAAGCAATTCTGGAAATTTCATAATTTTGCTCCTACGCTTGAGCGTAGAAATTTACGCTCGAGCGACCACTCTGAGAGTGTGCACTTCCGCTCGAGCAACCAGAAGTCTGCTCGAGCGTGAAATGCAAGCTTCCAGAAGTTCTTATGTTTTGCAGCATGCTCGAGTGACAAAAGTTGCGCTCGAACAAGGGCATGTCTCTTACGCTTGAACAAGCGTTGAACGGCAAAATCAAGCAACCAGCATTTTTGCAAAAGTTTACAGATCGCTCGAGTGACCGATTTTGCACTCGAGCGACCACTCACATTTTACATGTCCACTCGAGCATAGGAAGTCACGCTCGATCGAGGACTCTGTTTTCAACACTTTTTGTTAAGTGTTTTCAAGTGCATTTTTGCATCCTCTTTCCATCATAGGCATTCCCAGACCAAGATTAAAACACCATAATGAGGATAAAGAAGTAGAAACACCCTAAGACAAGAAAGAACTAAGTTAATGATTTCGAGTGTGTTATTCAGTACGTATTCGTTCTGTATTTGTGTAGGTCACGTGCCACAAGATATCTGAATTGCCTACTCTGTCCGTTACTTGGAGTTATCTGTTATCTGTGTGTAATAACTTAGTAAAGTTATGTTTAAGTTAAATTATTTTCTGTATATGGAATAAGATTTGTTCTATGAGATGCCATGTTTTGTACTATGAATGATTGTTCAACTCTAATAAATGTTTGCGATATTATGCTATGATCCAAGTATGCTGTCTGTACCTGGATTGAAGGTTCCTTATGGAATTGACAAGTTATCTGTACCTGGCTGGAAGTTCCCTTATGAAACTGACAAGTTATCTGTTCCCAGTCTGGAGGTTCCTTTATGGAACTGACAAGTTATCCGTACTCGGCTGAAGGTTCCTCTATGAAACTGACAAGTATAATCTATGATGCTCTGTATATGATCTGTTAACGTTAACAGATAAGCCATGTATGATCAAGCATGAATTCTAAATTCTGTATATGATTTGAATAAGAATACGAATGTGAACTACCATAGTCATGGGACATCATTCATTTAACCCTTTACTCTGTTATTATTCATTGGGCTCCCGCTCACTATTTAAATTATGTATGTAGGTAATCAGGCACATGACCAGGCTCAGAGTTGAGGACCTAGCGTCTTAGTTTTTGTCAGCCAACCTTTGCGCCTCCCGAGGAGGTTCCGGATCAAGTCAAGTCTAGTGGCTATGTTGTTATGAATGTATAAGACTTTGTTTCTTTTGCTCTATGAACAAGTTTCTCTGTTTTTTTGTACATGAAGTGACGTGTAAATACTGTATCTTTTGACATCACTCATATGTTTATAAAAGTTTAAAATTTTCTATCCAATGTATGTCTTCATAGCTCGGTGGACTATGTACATTTTATGTATTTGCTTCTACAACCCCTAATTGTACATTATTATGTTAAGAGGCCTTTGGTAATCCTAGGATTACTGGCCGGTTACAACGCTAAACCTATAGAGGCAGGTTGGGTTGGGTTGTGACAATCTTCCTCTTGCACTTGCCACAATGAAGATAACTCACTGAAGTGTATTATAAAGTTTTTATTTATAATTGATGAGACTCCAATGTAACACCTATATTGCCACTGCGCCAAGGCAAATTAGACTTTTAACTCCACTAAAATGATGAATAATAATGATTAAAAAAGATTAGTCAACAAATTTAGCACTTAAATTTTTAAGAAAATTACTATTCACACTCTACTTTTGCTTTCTATCCTTAAATTTTGCTTTTAGCCAAAAAACAATATGGGGTGTGAATAGCCAGTGAGGAGTGTAAATAATAATCTCCATTTTGAAAATTCAAATGAAATCATTACTCACCCAATTTGGCCATCTTCCAAATAGTTATGGAGCTGCCACACCTTGCCAAAACAAACAGGATGATTGCCAACTGACAAGGTCACATTTTGTCATTTGCACTAGTAATTTCCCAAGTGAAACACAATAAAACAACAAGAAGAAAGAATACTATAGTTTCAAATTATGATACTATAGAAAAGGAAAAAAGAGTTGCCTAAAATACAAATATGCTTAGTTTGAAAGGGTTTAATATTGAAAAGAGTAAATTCACAACTTAGATAACCAATTCCCCCTGTACAGTTAGAATACACCCAATAACACTACACTGATGCCACAACCACTACCTAGATTGATACTGTTATTTTAGACCATGCAACCATTGATCTCCAATGGATGAACGAGAACTGTCTATCACAATGAATCATTAGACATTCCACTTTTCTTCACAAACTTCGTTTTTTTTTTTTAAAAAGTATACAAAAAAAAAAAAAATTTTTGAGTTGCACATGTCAGTAAAGAGAAACTTTGCATTGAGAAAATACTTTAGAAATTTTAATGTTATGATCTTGATCATTGCCATCCAAACTTAACCCACCTATTTTGTGGTTAGATGCACAGATTGCATTATGCAAATCTTCCCATTTAAAGCCAAATCTTTCATTGGTATGTTAGCTTTGTGATCCAACATTCTTGTTAGAGGACTAATGAAAAAAATAATAGGAAAAAGATGGCCAACATTAGGAAAGTATATTACATTTGAAGGTATAAAACTGTAAAACGCCTATATCCTACTTCAAACAGCTTAAACCATAATTAATGTAGAGCAGGATACAATCTGGGGATGGAAACAAAACAGAAACAGTTTCTTCACAAAGACAAAGTAGAAGAAGAAACTAAGAACAGAGAACTTACCTTGTCTACAATGAAAATCTCTTATCCATTGAACAAAAATTAAACTGTTCGAACATTAAACAAAAACCAATGATGGGCTACCAGATTGAACATTCATCAAGTATTTTTAATTTGGTTCAAGTGTAGTGGCCATCTAGAAATTTAAAACCAAAGAAAAAAGAGTTTGATTAAACAGAACTTTTAAATCCTATTTTTTGAAATTTCCATATTCTTGTTGGCATGTATCAGCATTTGTTTGACCTCGTTGTATCAGCATTTGTTTGACATTTGTATGTATTATAGAAAGATGCACTTCTCACATGAAAGTGCAGTTAAGCCAATATGGAAAGAATTCCAAGTAAAGCCACCCTGAAATGTAAGTTTAGAGACAATAACTTGGCCATTCACAAAGCATTTCATTGAGGCATTTTAGCATACACTTGCAATGCAAAATGTAAGTGTAGAGAGAATTACACATGCTTTCAATTATCACACATGCCTACAATTTATCATTTTAACAAGATGATTTTTCTTTCAAAATGACAACAGAACTCAGCAAGTCTATTTTCATAACATTCTTTATGACAGGACTTTTGTTCTGTTTTTCAAAAATCCTCTCCATTTATTCTTACATTTATACAAAATTCCTCTCCATATGCATCATGAAAGCAGTTGTTCTGTTTTTGTAAAAGGGATTAGAATACTGATGCATATCATGTATGCCTAACAACAAGTCTATTTCAACAAGTATGATTTCATAACATTTTTTTGAAAAATCAGACAGCTTTTCATCATGGGAATTAAATGGAGAGGATTTAAAAAAAAATGAAAAAAAAACAAATTAATCACTAAGCTTTTCATCATGGCGATTAAATGGCAATGATTTATAAACATATATATATAATAAATAAATAAACTGACCTTTTCTCGGTTGTCAATGGAGGAGATTTTGAGATCTAGGGCTTGGGTAACTTTGCAACATGTCAATGCAAAGAAGGGAAGCCGGAAAACACCGGAAGCCCTCCACTGCTGCCGATGGGTTGGCTAATTTTGCTCTTGTTTGCTAGACCGAAACAGTGTTTGGGTTTCAATAGAGTAGAGATAGAGAGAGAAAGAAAGAGAAGGAATCCGATATTTGGGTTTGAATAGAGTAAAGTGAGATTGTTTTGGGTTTGAATAAGTGAGAGTGATGGATGAGAGGAGAGAGAGAGAGAGAGCCACACGCGTCACAGAGCTCATTCGAGGCATTCACGCCTCATGCTCTCTAGGTCTGAAACATTTTTCATATAATTAATAACAATTCGAGATTACATATTTTAGTCACTAATTACTTTTTGAATCCCACCAAAATTAGAAATTTTCTTTCAAATATTTTAGTTTTTTAACGATTAAAATATTTTTTTATCGCTGAAAATATACTTTTGGCAACCAAAAGATAACATATACTTTTGGTCGCCAAAGATAAAAAATAATTTTTTTCTTTTTATTCGACTACTAAACAATTTTAGTAGCTAAAACTAACTATACGATTACTAAAATATTCTTTTGTCGTTGAAAATATACTTTTAGCGACTAAATTTTTAGTCGCCAAAGATAATTTTTTTTTTTTATTCGGCTACTAAACAATTATAGTAGCTAAAACTAACTATGCGGCTACTAAAGTATTCTGTTGCCGTTGAAAATATACTTTTGGCAACCAAAATTTTGATCACCAAATATAAAAAATAATTTTTTTTTTTTTTCATTTGGCTACTAAACAATTTTAGTAGCCAAAACTAGTTACATGGCTACTAAAATTTTTTTTAGTCGCCAATTATGATATTTTTAGCAACTAAATTTTTTTTTTAGTCACCAATAATTAATATTCCCCGACTAAAAAAAATGAGTAGCTAAATATTTGACTTTTACTAACTAATATTATTTTTAGTCGCCAATTCCAACACTTTTGGCGACTAAATTTTTTTAATCGCCAAAAATAATTGCTAAAAATGCATTTTGTTGTAATGGTTCCATTTGCCTATAAACGAAAGGAGAGAGCAACGAAGCAAAGGCAGGCAAGCTTCAGCTGAAGCTCTGCATGAAAGAAAAGAGAAAGAAAAGAAAGAAAGGGAGAGTGAGAACGTTTAGAGTGTATATATTTTATAGTGGTTGTAATATTAGTATGTAGAACTAATTTCCATATCTTAGGGTTAAGATGAAACTCAGTGATTGGGGGTAGTTTGTATTTAGTTTTGTAGATTTTTAATTGATTTTAGATACTGTTGTATAACTTAAATTTTTGTGCCGATATTGTTTTATCAAATTACGTGTTCACTAGTCATGAATACATGTTATACAATTATTTTCACTGCTTATGTATTAAAATTATTAGATTAGTCATACCTAGTAAGACGAGTCGTGCATTAACCTTAGTTTAGTTTAGTGATTACGGTCTGTGCTAAGCGAAAATGATTCATGACTTTCTAATTTTAAAACACAAATATTTTAAGTGACGTGTCCCGACCAAGACACATCATAGTATCCATTTCAATGATTTTTTACAATCTAAATACAATAACCCCCAATTATAAGGTCAGCAGTGGATTCTAAACCCTAAGGTTTCTTTTTCTCACTTTCCATTTTCAAAACCGAAATCTTTGAACTAAAAATAACTTGCCCTAGTTTTTGTGGTTCGACACCCATTCTTAACCGCTATACTTCATAATAGTAGTTGCTACCGATTTTATTCATTTTATTTTGGTGTGCAAATGACAACATCATTCATTAAGTGTATTCACTGAGAAAAATTGATGTGTGAAAATAGAATTACCTCAAGTTAGTCCCTCTAAATATTAAACTTATTGTATTGTCCTTAATAATTAAAACTTAACTAACTAAAAAATCATGCTTAATTTTTTTTACTTCCTTTTACTAATGTACAACACACACCTTTTTTTTGTATTAAAAAAAAGTTGCTGATGTGGCATTTTATAAAATTAATAGTATTTGGATGAATAGTTAAAATAAAGAGCATGGTTGGAGCAGAAATATGAAACAGTTGATAGGCAAAATAAAATGTATACTTTATAGTAATATTTAGATAGGTAAAATGCCTATTACCGTTGGAGATGCTCTAAATATACATCAATCATCGTGTTTTTTCTTCTTTTTTTAATTTATTTTTTTATACCTTATGCAGTGTTTGACTATAATTACTTTTTTTAATTATAATTTAAAATAATTCAATTATGATGTTTATGATAACTAATCTTATAAATATCATAATTTGCATATAATAAACACTATTTTGAGGGTGTGTAGCATGGCGGGACCCAACTTTTATTATTGACAGACATGGTGGCCAATGGAGATTTGATAAACAATTTACAGCAACAAAAGTTAAAGATATATTATACAAAAGCCAAAAACATCAATGCTGGAATAGCTCAGTTGGCTAGAGCGTGTGGCTGTTAACCACAAGGTCGAAGGTTCAAGACCTTCTTCTAGCGCTTGCCTAGTCTTTTCAAATAAATTATTGAGTTGAGTTGTATTTTTTTTTTCAAAAAAGAAATTGCAATTACATTATTGAGTTGAGTTGGATAAACAACTATTTACTATGTGAACTATCAAGTGATGTACCGATTATATTAAATATATGAATTGATGCATATTTATGAATCCATTAATAGGATTAATATTAAACCGAATTTATTGAATTTAAAACCATTGTTTGGAAGTTCTGTTCCAGCTAATTCACCTTACTGGAGATATGCATTAGCTACAGAATCTACATACAAACTACATTGCATGTACAGAATGCTTTGGAATCTTTGATGGATCTGGTTAACCAACAACCCATATGTGAGATGACTGGGCACAGGTATGGGAACAACTTTAGCAACAAAAGACTAAGAGTATCCCAGCAATCTCCCTAAACCCACTCGTTACTTATTTTAAATGGTTGAAATCACTTTATACATTTTCAGCACTTCTTCTAAACAATTCCCTAAACTAATTTTTCTTACAGTGACTTCCTATAACTCCCTTATATTTAATAAATTCTTATTTTATTTCGTTAAAGGCGTGAAGGGAAAGTAGTGCCCTGAAAAATGCTCAAAAATGACCTAACCTATCGATCGCCTGGTCATCCGGCCGGTCGACCACCCGGTGAATCTCCCCTACTTGTTTTCCTCTGCTGTACTGCTGTGTTGCTAGTGTTTGGTTGGCTTTTTATTATTTTATTATTAAAAAAATATTTAAATTTAAAAGTAATTAAAAATATTATTTTAATAGAATAGAGAAAGAATAGGAAGTTTGATAGGAAAAGTAAATGAAAAAGTGATTCCTAATAGAAGAAATTAATTTTTTAATAATATTTTAGAATAAAATTTAAGTAAATTGCTGGGATGCTCTAAGACCACTAGCCTTACTAGTATGTGAAATTGCAAGAATTATGCGCAAATCCTAGCTATGATTTCTCTTGCCGCTATTTTTAGATGTTGAATTTGTGATTGAAAAAAAGAAATTGTTACTTAATAAAACTAAAACTTTATATTTGTTTTTATTTTGTCATTTTATACTTTGAATTTATTGAATGATGACTATATTAGGGAAAATAGATGATTTTCCACAAGTAAATCATTCAATGGAAATAAAAATTAATGTAAAAAAATTAAATCAATAATTTTTACGTGTTTTCTCAATGTGAGATACATTCACAGGATCAAAATCCGATTTTACTATCAACCAAGAGTTTTCAAATAATTACAAATGAGACACGAATAATTTTACAAATCATTCTTAAGTGAATTCCAAATAATCATAAATAAACGAGAGAAAAAATCTCACCAAATAAATAAATAAATAACCTTCAAAATAGAATTGAAGAAGATCTAAAAACTAATAACCCCAGATCGAAACTATAACAATGACCAGATGCTTGAAATCAAAGCAGCAACGAAAGCACAAGTTGGACTTTACCACGCCAAACTGCATAACAATACTTTTTCTTGTTCACGCCGCACATCAAACACCACTACCGAATAATCTGATTAAAAGAAATATCTCAGCACGAAACTTCAATGCAAGAATATTGATGCCTTAGATTTTTTCTCAAAACCAAGCTGTCACCAAACAGATTTTTAAAATATTTATTGGGTCTTAAAAAATCAAATATAATATATAAAAAATATATTATAATCAATATCAAATTAAATTAAAATTCTTTTAATAAATCAATTAGATCTCATATTCCGAAAGTATAACCACCAAACTATCTATAGTTTGTACTCACTAATGGAGCAATTGCTTGGGGGTTAAATGGGTCAAAACGATAGCACAAGGGGTGTAAATGGTTCGGTTCGGTTCGGTCGTTGTTGAGAGTAAATTTATTACCAAACCAATTCTTTCAATTTTCACAATTGAGAAATCGATATGGACTGTATACTACGGTTTGTTTTTATCGATTTTGTCGGTTTGATGTAGAAGAGAGATTTACTTAAATTTTTGAAAGGTTTATAAAAACTTATAGAATTTTATGTTAAAAATAAATAAAGAAAAGGGAAAATTGGTCTAAGGTCCCTCTCCCACTTTTCGTAACGGAAGAGATCCACAAAATTATTTTTTGATGTCTAAGGTCCCTAAACATATATCAGAGAAATTTGACTGGGTTTGATCCTCTTCCTCAAAACCTCATTGCCTGATTCTTCTCTCTCTAGCAGAACCTTTCAATCTCTTTCTCTTCCTTTTTTTTTTTTTGTTTTTTCTCTGTACTTTCTAGATCTCTCAACCTGATTTCATGGATCTATAAACCCACCCACCTGGGACCTTAGACATCATGAAAATATTTGATGTCCTTTCTACTATAAAATCATAATATCAGGGACCTTAAAAAAAATACCCCTAAAGAAAATATGTGAAAATTGCTCTATATATATTTCTTTCCTTAGTTTTTGTCACAAAAAATGTATTATATTAGTCACTTATCATATAACTAGTGTATGCCCGTGCCTAAAGGCACGGTGTAAATAATATTATGATCAAAATGTAGTTGTAATTTGTACGTATCACGTTAAAATTTGTAGAATCTGTAGCACCTGATAAAAGATCAAGTCAGCACTGTTACCATTAGTTTGTGGCTAACACCTGATACACTGGCGAGTGTGATAGTACTCCGAACCAAAAATATCTTATTGAAATAACATAATACAGATACATAAATAACATAACCTGACAAATAGTAATCTTTAGAAAAATAATTTTGCAACCAATCTGAAGAAAGCAATGACA